AATATAAAAAAGAAAAAGTAAGAAAGAAAAAAAACAAATCGTGGTAAATAATAATAATAATAATAATAATTCGCTTCGACGAAAACTTGTCGATCGAAGATTTCTATTGACGCATTCGTTCGCGAGAAGAGATTAATCGAGATAAATCTATTTTTTTCATCTTTTTTTTTTTTTTTTATTATACAATATAAAAAATATATATTACTTTTTTAAATTCTTTTTCTTCGGACTTTATTATTTTTGACTAAAGAATTTGAAAAGAACAAAAAAAGAAAATCATATATAAAAAGATAGAGAAAAAAATAAGAAGAGAACGAGAGAAAGATAAAGAGAGAGAGAGAGAGAGAATTGTTATCTGTTGTTATTGTTATTGTTATTAAAAAAAAAAAAAAAAAGCGATAGTTATTTACGCACGTCGATGCTCAAAAATTAAATTTCATTGTTATGGTTGGAGAAAAAAATGAAAGAAAATAAAATCCGCGAATTAAATAGTTCAAAAATAAAAATACAATAAATAAAATTAGAAAGAGAGAGAGAGAGAGAGAGAGAGAGAGAAAAATTCTTCGTCGCGGCGATGCGAGTACTTAGAAAAATATTATGAAACGCGCTTAATGCGAAGCTTTTTTCAACGCATCAATCACATTATATTAACTCGAATCGAATAAGAATGATTTTTCAAGCTTTTACGAAATGTTTTTAGGCTGACTGTTAAAATATGAAAGTAATATGCGTAATTGATAAGTCACATTTTAGAGATCAGGTCTTCTCAAGATATATCTATTTCTCCTAATTAATATAATTTTATTATGAAAATATGTTATTTTTGATATATAGTATCATTCATTATCGTAAACTCATAGATAGGCTATGTTATTAAATGTTGCTTAATCGATTATTAATATGAATATTTTTTGTCATTTCTCGTAAAGGAATTATGGAATAACTAACTTTTGTTTCAAATTTGTACGAACCCCATAATGTGGGTGGGGGGGCCGGTCACGATCATCCATACTTTTATGAGAAGTCCTGTTTTATACAATACACGCATAAACACATACATACGTACATACATATACGAGTAAATATATATATATATATATAGATAGATTGTATTTTTAATAACAAGTTTATAGTAATCGCTGATACACACAGCCGCACCGTGCAGGGTAAAGTAAAGTATTAAAATTACCAAAAAAAAATAATAATCAGAAAACGAAAGAATTATAAGGGAGGATAAAACAACAACAAAATTCAGAAGAGAACAGCCAAAACACTGCTGTATATTCGAAATAATATTATATTATAATATATATTTCTTCTTCTTCTTCTTCTTCTTCTTCTTCTTCTACTTCTTTCTTTTTCTTCTTTCTTTTCGTCGCTAATCGTTGCCATTTTCATTGCTTCTATTTAAAAAAAAAAAAATTCCCCTCCTTGTTATTAATTTGTAATTAAAAAAACATCGTGCGATAAATGTTATTTCTTTTTTCTTTCTTTTCTTTTCTTTTCTTTTTATTTCTTTTCATTTTTCATCGTAGTAATTCGTAAGAACTGGCGTTGATTTAATAAGCTGGTACTTACGTGACGCGTAAAAATAAATAAATAAATAAATAAATAAATAAATAAATATATATATATATGATATAGAATATAAAAAACATATAATAATAATAAATAAATAAAAATAACAAATATATAATATTATTAAATATTATTACGCGAAAATCGCCGGGACCTTAACGTCTAAAAATCAAGATTTAATGCTTATTTCCAAAAGCACAAATTTCTTGATCATTATAACATCGTCATTACGAACATAATATATCAGCCTGCAGTAAACATATACATATCTGTAAAAAAGAAATATTTTATTTTAACGATTGCGACGATTTCGAATTAAATAAACGATCTATTCTTACCTGTTCTCTCTATTCCGTACGTTTCATTTGTTTCTATCCTTGTATTAAAGATATTCTTATTATTATACTTCTCATTCGTCTTCTTGAAAACACTTTATATGTTTGTTAACAAAAATTAAGGATAGAATGTTGCGGAATGGTGTGGGGAAATTTGGTATTAATTTCCGAATAAATTTGCATTTAGGGTGTTTGATTGTTTAAATATACGCCTTTTTATACATGGGAAAATCGAAGGATACATCGTACAATAATAAATGCTTGCACTTTTGCATTAGCACAGCAGAATCTTCATTATCTCTTCTTTTTGTTTTGTTTTTTTTTTTTGTTTTTTTTTTTTTTGTTTTCTCCTTATTTTTGTGTTCCGTTTTGTTTTCTCCCCTTTTGATAATTTTCTTCATACACGTCACATCGTTATTACACGCTCTCTCTCCACACATTTCTTATTTATTTATTTATTTATTCATTTATTTATATATATACCCTTTTTCACCCCCATTAACGCACACCAATGAAACGAATCTCTCTGTATATGCAGAACGTATCAAAATATTTGGGAATAATTTCACACAGGGATTGGGTTTCAAATGAAAAAAAAAGGACAAATTTCTTATTATCATATTTCACGATATTACCTTGTTTCCAAATTATTGTTGCTTATGTCTTTATAATAATTTATAATTATATTATACTGAACTGTGCTTCTTTTTGATTGAATTATTTACAAGTAAGCTTTTTATCTCTTATATACCACTTTTTTTTTGTCTGCTCTGTAAATATTAAATATTTTTAATCAATTCAGAGTACAATCTGTTGATGAGATAACAGTGTGGTCATTTGTTGTTAATACATTTCTGCGATAATTTACATTACGATAATGTATAATACAACAATGATTATAATTTAGAAACAAGGCTAGTATTGGAACATATGATTGTAGATACATTTTTCTTATTTTAACATAATGAAATAACCTTTAAAATTATGATCCCATATCTTGAAACATCCTGCATATACCTATATATATAATATATATATATATATACAGGATGTCGTGTAAGTGATAGTACAAGCAAACAGAGAATGATTGTTCACGGAAAATGAAATCAAAAATGTAGAATAAAATTAGTCAAATATACATGATTGTGAGTTTACAATCCTGAAAATTATTAAAAGCCTCGTTCGTTGAACATAAAAATCAAAATTAATATAAGATATATCATCCTATAACTGTGACAATGTTAATAAATATATTATTAAAAAAGCACAAAAATGTATCAAAGTGTTGCACGCGTAAAATAAATTTTCAAATCTAATTATCTCAATAACAAAACTATATGTTATGATTTAATTTTTCGTGGTAAAAAAAAAAAAAAAGAAAACAAATCATTCCCACTGTTAATTTTTGTACAGTCAATTACAAGGATACACTGTATATAAAACGAGCAATGATGATAAAACTTCTTAGCTCCTTTTTTATTTTGTTAATGTCATTTTTCGTTTCTTTTTCGTTAGAACAAGCCAACATATTTTTGCTTCTTTCGTTAAAGGGGAAAAAGTGACAGAGACAGAGACAGAGAGAGAGAGAGAGAGAAATAGAAAGAGAGGAAGAAAGAGAGAGAGAAAAAGAGAGAAAGAGAGATAGAAGAAGAAGGATAGAAATAATATACAACACGGAAAAAACTTATGATTACGCGTGATCACCACTGAAATAACTACTCTGCATCATGAACAGTTTGTCGATAGGATTGTGAATAGCCGCATGTAAACCCTGAGACAACGAGGGTGCTTCGTGAGATGAAGAACCATGATGGGAATGAGAACCACCCTGATGACTTCCATCCGCACCACCACTTTCATTTTCGCCAATCTCAAAGCCAACGACACCGTCAAGGGATTCATCCGTAGTGCAGAAACTTTCACCAGAGTTAGCTGGATAATTGTCTACAATATATATATATGTATATAAATGTTTAGTTTATTAATTATTTTTGTATTAATTAAAAAAAACAAACAAAAATGATCATCGAATACTAACCGTCCGGTGAGAAGGGATGATTAGGGTTAAGCGGTTGTGTTGACGAAGGAAAATTCGATGATTCACCGTCGCGCATATTTATGGCATTCAAGTAATGACCTATAATGATTATAAAACAAATTGATTATTATTATTATTATTATTATTAAATGTTCGTATAGTTTTAATCCAATTAAATGCATTCGCGTATAAGATCTTAATTTATGTTGTACCGATTGTATTGTAAAAATTGAATGATCACTTATTCAATTATTTCGATTCAATTTGTACATAATAACGATACGATAAGATGTGCGATCTTTAATTAAAAAAAGAATTAATTAATGAAACTCTATAAGAGAATATATTTGTATATTAACGGTAACCATTAATTTCGTATTAATTTTTGTTGTTTACGATAATTAAATATTCTTGAAAATAATATTATCATCAGCTTAACGGAATATATTATTAATTTATAATTTAAAAAAAAAAAACAGTTAATAATTTAAACTTACTGTGATCGCTATGAGGACTTTCCGTCCTTCGTTCTTCCTTAGGCTCTTTGTCCGACCCAGGTTCTGTTTTCGCTTTCCTCTGAAGCTTCTTCATTTTCGCCCTTTGATTTTGAAACCAGACCTGTACGACGCGAACGCTGAGACCCGTGTCCTTTGCCAGGGCCTCTCGTACCTTCCTGCAAGGCTTTGGCGAGACTTCAAAGGACGCTTTGAACTGTCGCCTTTGAGCCGATGTGAGGATGGTCCGTGGCCGTTTAGGTCCCCTTCTACCATCACGTGGTCGATTTTCGTCCAATAAATCGTCATCTCAACAAACCAAATTTTATCATTCATTCAACCATTCAATTTATTATA